TCCATCTTTAAATGAATAAATAACTTTTTAAAAAGCAAATACATCTTTAAAAAGCAGTCAACTTCAAATTCTCTATAGTATGAAACTAATGACCAAGGACAGGAATCATGGAAGTCTCCAACCCTAGTGGACAAAAGCTTAGATGAAAGTGTGATGGGAAAAATTAGAGGGACTTAAGATATAAAAAGTAAGTAAATAGATAATTTGCTTTGTTGGAAATATAAAAAGTAAGTAAATAGATAATTTGCTTTGTTGAAAAAAAAAGAACCATTTTTAAAAATTTCAATGAAGAATTTTATCAAAAACTCTTCTAAAGAAGCTGAAGAGATGATTCATGGTTGAGAGTCCACACTGCTCTTGCACAGGACCCGAGTTCAATCTCCGGCACCCATGTCTGGCAACTCACAACACCTTTCATTTCAGCTGTTAAACTCTCTTCTGGACTCACACAGCGGTAATTTAAAAAAAAAATCTTCTAGAGAAAAGTCATTTTTTAAAGTTTAGACATTATCATTATTTTATGGTTTTTTTTTTTTTTTTCATGTTACACTGGCCTCAACTCTATTGACTCCTAAGGCCTTCCTATCTAAGTCTCCCAAGAAGCTAGTGTTGAAAGCAAGTGCCACTAAGGCCAGCTTTCAGGTCATATTTTAGTAACAAAAACAAACACATAATTGGGACAGCTACAACCATTTTTTTAATAACACAAAACATTTGTGTTAGAAAAATTTTTACCAACTTTTTGTTGTTGTTTTGGTTTTTTTCAAGATAGGGTTTCTCTATGTCGCTTTGGCTGTTCTAGAACTCACTCTGTAGACCAGGCTAGCCTCAGACTTGGAACTCTGCCTCCCAAGTCCTAGGATTAAAGGTGTACACTACCATACTCAGCTGCCAACTTTTATTTTAGCCATTTATAAATAATTTTAGCAAAATCTTCTAGCTACACTGGACAAATAACAACATTCTTAGAGTAAATAAAATATCTAGTAAAGGTTAAGCTCTCAGTGAAAAGCTTGTCAAGCTGACAACTATTACTTACATTGAATGAATTTTACTGAGTCACAATATTTTTGTATCGCCCAGCGTTGGTGGCGTATGCCTTTAATCCCAGCACTGGGGAGGCAGAGGCAGGCAGGTCTCTGTGAGTTCGAGGCCAGCCTGGTCTACAGAGTGAGTTCCAGGACAGCCTCCAAAACAATACAGAGAAACCCTGTCTCGAAAAACAAAAAAACAAACACAAAATAACAACAACAAAACAATATTTTTGTATCACACTAACTTATTTTTATCAAAATATAGCAAAAGAGATGCTATTATCAAGCTGACCCCTCACTGTGTGCAATATAGTGGACTCATTGCTTATTGTTTCATCATGTTTTAAAGATTTTAAGTTAGAAATCAATCACATAGTAATTATTCCTTAAAGGTCACTTATAGCCACCTGTAAAAAATAAAAACCAACTTTGCTTTCACTATTGAACAGTTCAAGGTTATAAATACTATTTGAATCGACTGTGCCAGTCTCAACCATGCTTTTACCAGTTAGCTATGAATCAAATATCCAATGCAAAGCTTCAACCTTTTTTCTGTATATCACAGAAAGGTCTGGCGGGAGCAAGCAGGAAACTGTTCAATTACAGTCTTTTAAAGAATAGTGGCAATGCTGCACGTAACTTTTGAGTCACTGTGATAAACTGTTTTTTCTGCCAATGATCTTAATCTAGCTCCTGAGAGATGTCTGCTACTCTTGTTGTAGCCCTGGCATTTACATATATAAACTTGGTTCAACAGGCACACTTAGGGCAAGTTATGGTACAATGGCCACTTGAAATCAATCTGTGACACAAGTAAACAAATCTGCTCCAAGAGCTGCAATAGGAACTTAATGTGTTAATGTCAATGCAGGACAAGTAAAATATGTCCAGTTCAGAGCTAATGTGCATTTGTAATTTCTATATATTACAGTATGTGGTAAGCAAAATCAGCAGATAAAAGTGCCTTTTTGATACTATCAAATCTATTGCTCAGTAAATATATTTCAATGACTATCTCACGATAAACATTAAGTACATCCAAATCCTCTACTCAAATTGTTATGTATATCTCAGTTTGCTAGGATATCATTCTAGCAAATTAGCAAAAGTATCTGAATAATGAATTTATTATGATAAACATATATATGCTATCTTATAAAGTACTATAATGCAGATGACCTTACTTTGCATAAAAATATATCCCTAGAAGACTATATGAATGAGTTCAATTTCCATAATTCAAATATTAGAAATGCATCAAAATATATGAAATACTTTTAGCCTGCTAAAAATATAATACTGTATCAGTTTTGTCATTTTCATGTATCTAGCTTTACAGTAAGATTCACGGATAATGCTACACTGACAATATCAACTGTTGGATTTGCAACTATTCTGAAGTTATTACAGAAAGGTCTAAGTACTTGAAACAGAATGTACTTATTCACACTAAAGAGTTATTTGTTTTATTAAAATCAAACATACCTCCTTTTTTTTCCTTTCCTCTTCTTTTCTCTTCTTTTCTTCTCTGATTTGGGCCAACCTCTGCTTCTTACGTTCCAACTCAGCTTTTAGTTCACTCTTGTCCGACATGGCTGTGACCTTAAAAAGAATACCAATATTTACAATAATCATTGATTTAAAAAAAAATGTAGCAGACTTAAAAAAAAAAGTACTTCAAGAAATATACCAGTAAGCTAAGAATTTCAATGCTACCTAAGAACACACAAATTATATCTTTTAAATAATAAAAACATAGATACATACCATTAAGACATAAGAAAGAACATAAACAAATGTATGAACAAGTATTACGCAAAACTTGAGCACAACAGCTAGCACTTAGTGAGTGTTTAATGTTCCCAAGAGCAACTTTAACAATGTCTCATTCTGTGGCCAGGCAGGCAGGCCTTGAAATCATGATGTAGCCTAGGATGTCCTCATGGGAGTTCTCCTATCTCAAGATGCTGGTGTGCTGGGGTTAGAGGAGTCAGCAGCACACCCAGATACAAAGGCTTTTTGATGCTTCTGTATTTGAGTACTAGATAATAAAAGTCATAACTAATGTTTGAAACAAAAGACAGGTTGGCATTAAACTTAGGTCTTAGTATGGTATAATTGCTCATACCCATAATCCCAGCTTTCCAGAAGCATGGCAGGAAGATTCTGAGTTCAAACAGCTTGGGCCATATATAGCAAGACAGGTTTTTAAAGAATGCTTAGTCTTCAGCCATGAAACCAAAAATATTAACAGAGAATGCTGCATTTGTTCTTAGAAACTTGATAAAAACACTGAATGGTTAAACAGAAAATGACTAAAAGTTCTTTAAGTTCCATAGATGTTCCATAACAATCAAGTCAAATGATGTTTTTCCACCCTTCCACCTTCTCATGGCATTTTTATATGATTATCTGTGAATGGACCTGACATGTTCCATATCAGACTGTCATCTATTTGAGTCTGGAACTGTGTCTTTGTTACCTTCACAGCATGGACACCTTAACATTAAAATTAGAGTGGCGGAATGAATCATGTGTAAAGTAGATGAGATTACATACATGAATGTGACTTCATACTGAATGTTACAAATGAGTGATGGACCAGTATCTTTCTGAACTAGAAAAGTAACCTATGGGCTGAGCGTAAGACAGGAACCAGGAATTTGTCACCTTATCTGTACTGGTTTAGTCTCGGTACAATTTCAGGAATAAATATTTTAGATCTAGGAAAGTGGGCGAATAACCTCTTGAAATCTTAAGAGGAATCTCTTAGGAAACACATTAAGTTTGGGTTAAGTGCAAGTTGGTAAGGAGGCAAAATTCACCTACTGCAAATTCTGATTACAGTACTCTAGAAAGACTGGCAGGGCAGTGGACAAAAAATGGTGTGCAAGAGACAGGGGAAACCCCTTTAATATAATCATGTATTATACACTTGTACATACACTCCCAGCCAAGTCATCTGAACAAACTCACAAAGCAAGAGCCTGTGTTTCTTCGCCCACCCTTTCCAGGTCTCTAAGAAGCTTCATACTGTAAGGGCTGTTGAAGAGAGCTCCCATGTGCATCACTCTGCATGCTAGGCTGGACGTATTATTTTCTGTTTACGGCCAGCTGTCAACAAGTATAGCAATACTACCTGCTGTCTAGATTAAAGAAGTGTATCTTCAGTCAACCCTAACTAGCTGAAGCACAGGTGATCAGCTAAGCTCCCTCATCCTCAGACAGGCCAGACCCTCTGCTCCGTGACTGACAGGTTCATTTTCTTAAAACTCCGGGAAGAGGAGAGTATCTAGAATGGTGTTAAAACCTCTCAGTGTCCAGCGACCTCCAACGCACACGCCAGGTGCCTGGATATGCTACCCACCCAAGTAGTCGCGACCTTTATTCGTAAAACCAAGCAAAGCTTAAGGAATTAGTTTCTCCCTGGGCTTAAGGCCAGGAGGACGTAATCCGGGCTGGGGTGTGTCCCGGGACTGCCAGACGAGTGCAAGGCAAGTCCCGAGGCCCCGAGGCTCCGGCCGCCCGCGGAGGGTCCCGAAGTGTTGCCGAGGGCCGCGGTGGCTTCCCCAGGCCTTCAGGAGTCACCAGGGCCGGCGCTGTCAGAGCGATTGGCCGGCCGGTCCCGCGAGCTCCGACGCGGCCACCGGAGGCAAAAGGGCCTTGAAGGAAGCGGGGCCGACCCACCTGTCAAGTGGCGGGATTAAGAAAGCTTCCTCTGGCCGGTAACTTCCCGGGAACGTTCCTCTCCAACTGTCGCCAGCCACCGCAGATCCGTGGCGCCCCAGACACACAAAGAGGGATGGGCGGCGGCCGCTACGGCGACAGCCAAGGGACAAACGGCTGCGCCGAGACGCCGTCGCTCAAGGAAGCAAAGACGCGACCGCCTGACGGGGAAGAGCGGAGTTACTTACCTTTTGTAAAACAGAAGCTGACGGGAGAAACAGGCACACACCGGCCGCGAAGTGTTTCCGCTTTGGCAAAAGCTGGACAACTGCACCTCACATCCTTGGGCGGAGCCCGCAACACCCAAGAGAACTACAAGCCCCGGCAGCTAGACACCTTATGTGGTTGTGGGAATTGTGGTCCCCGATAGAAGCAAGGTATGCTGGGATATGTAGTCTGTCCTAACTTCAGTCTCCAGCACCAAGGCCTTCGTTCGGCCATTAAAACGCCCATAGGAAATTCCAGTGCCTGTCTCGAAAGTGTTTTCTTTGGTTGAACAGTGCTCACAGTGTTGTATGTGTTGTTTCTTACTATCCTTGTCCCAATTGGCAAAATCTTAAGAAATGCTGTTTTCCATAATGAATCTGAGAAAGGGACGCTTTTAAAGGAGTTATGTACTTTTACCTTACCTGTGCACAGAATTTTAACGCGAGCGAGCAAGCCTCCTCGAACATGGGTTGTGGGTGTGGGTGTTTATTGAGGCTTCATGTAGCATGCACACAAAGCCTAAATAAAAAACTATTAATTAGCATGTAAAATAATTTCTAGTATTTTATAGCAGAATATTTGTCTGTTAAAAGTGTGTTTAAAGCCAGGCGATGGTGGCACACGCCTTTAATCCCAGCACTCGGGAGGCAGAGGCAGGCGGATCTCTGTGAGTTCGAGGCCAGGGTGGACCGACAGCCTCCAAAACAATACAGAGAAACCCTGTCTTGAAAAAAAAAATTATACTGTTGGACCTGATTAGATTTTAAATATAAAGGAAATTATTGGAATATTAATTATCAGAAATGTATGGGCTGATTCACATTATTTGAAAAGTTTATTTAAATAATTTGATGCATTATTTGCCAAGTATTAAGCTAATACCAAAGTATTATCTTTCTTGTCTTCTAGAAAACTGACAAAAAGCACATTGCTTGAGTTTAGATTGATCTCAAATTTGAAGTTCTAAAATTTCAAAGAGTGTTTAGTTATGTAAACTTTGTTTCCTTCTTTCGAAATATTTAGTTTTTCTTTAGTCACTTGAAAATTTCTCCTGAGTGCACTCATCATGTCCCAGGTTATAAGAACTAAAACACATCCCCCTCTTCTCAAGAGAGAAAGACCGGGTTCTCAATTCAACTAACTGTTAAGACAGGATTAAGTAAGTAAGCTGTAGAGGCAGATAAGACAGGAAAAGAAATTCATGAAGAGATGATACCAGAAACAAGCCTTTGATTCTGGAAAGTTGATTTAAAGTTAGTCATGTAAATGAGACCCAGAAAGGTACCAGGTTACCATAGAAGGAAGAGGAGGAGGAGGAGGAGGAGGAAGAGGAGGAGGAGGAAGAAGAGAAAAAAGGGTCAAAGTTCAGGGATGATGGAGCAGAGCATGGTGGAGAATGGAGAGGTAAGTCAGAGTGGCTCTAGGCTAAGAACTGAGGGTCGTGGTCCTGGGGAGGGCAAAGTCGCATATCTGGCTTAGTCTGAGACCTAAGGCGGTGAATGTAAGAGAAGATTTTAAAGAGGAGAATGGCATGATAATGCTTACATTTTGGATAGTTCTTTAGAAAGGTCAATTAACTAGTGTTTTCTTTGTCCCTCAGATTCTTTCCTGCCCTTTTTATACTAAGTTCTGAGCTTTTGGTGCTTGGTCGTAGCTTCTCTAAGGACTGCTTTGTGGGAAAGTTTGACCTCATGGGACAGGGTGTGCTGTCACAGGCTTTTTGTCCCAGCTTTGGGGGGTGGGGCAGGCAAATCTCTAGGTGTTCAAGCCAGCCTGGTCTACATAGTTAGTTCTGGGACAGCTAGGGCTACACAGCAGAGAGACCCTGTCTCAAAAACAAACAAACAAACAAGAGGACCACCAGGCAAGTGTACAGAAGCTAGAAAATTAAGATGTTGTAATGGGGTGTTGCTGGTCATTTATACAGGGAGTCAGTGAGCTGGTTCTCTGGAACAGACCAAGAAATGGATGTCTGGGGGAAGAGGAAGATTGAGCCTGGAGAAAGAGGGCAGCAGTGTTGTTAATTAGTTTAAAGTAAGAAATTACAAATTAGAAGAGGCAGAGCGAGGAACACGAGTGCGGGTACGGAACCAGGACCTGTGCGATGGATGGAGCACAAACCACGGGGAGCACGTAAAATATAGTTTATTATGGCGAGCCCGAAAGGGGGGAGACAGACATGAGAGAGAGAGAGAGAGAGTAAGGGAAGGGGAGTAAGAGATAAGAGAGAGGATGAGAGTAAGGGAAGATAAGAAAGAGGGAGAGGGAGAGGGGGAGGGGGAGGGAGAGGGGGAGAGGGGGAGAGAGAGGAGAGAGAGAGAGAGAGAGAGAGAGAGAGAGAGAGAGAGAGAGAGAGAGAGAGAGAGAGAGAGAGAGAGAGAGAGAGAGAGAGAGAGAGAGCGCGTGTAAGTGGGCAGGGGTCTGCCCTTTAAAGGGGTCCTTTGTACCTGCGTGCAGACTGGTTCCCATGGAACCCTGGGCTGGCCAGAGTGCTGCCTGAGTGAATCCTGCCAGGTAACAGGGCAGGCCAGCGTAATGCCTGAACCTTTCAAACAGCTTTTCTTTTCTGGAAGGGAGGTGCCCTAAGATTTTGAGAACCGGACTCTGGCTGGGGTATTTCATAGAGGCCCTGGGTCCTCCCCTTCCCCTTCTGGTCCTGTTTAGATGCCATCCCAGTGCTTCTCCTCAAAGTATCTTCAAGGGATGGAGGCTGGCATCTCAGGGAGTCCACTTCACTGTCCTTGTGTACCCTTGTCCCTCTAACTCTGCTTCAATGTGACAGTTCTTCCCGTCCTTTCCTCCTCTAGGTACATTCCAGCAACAATTTCACTCTCCCAGAGATTTCAACTCTGCCTCCTGCCAGGTGGACTCTGGTTTTCACTGGCTTCTGGTAACTGTTTTCTCCTTTTATTTCTTTATCACCTGGTCTATTATAGTTGTTCTCTGAGTGCTACCTTATCCATTAAAAAAAAGTGTGTGTGTGTGTGTGTGTGTGTGTGTGTGTGTGTGTGTCTGTGTCTGTGTGTGTGTCTGTGTGTGTGTGTCGTGCCTTGGACTACATTGCCATGTGGTCATCAGTGTACAACTTGCAGGAGTTTATCTTCTTCCAAGCTGGTCCTGAGGATTGGACGAAGAGTCCGCAGGCTTGGCTGCAAGTCCCTTTGCCCACAGTGTCATCTCCTCAGCCCCCATCCCTCCTATCTCATCCCCTCCCCTCCCATCCCCTCCCCTCCCATCCCATCCCCTCCCATCCCCTCCCCTACCCTACCCTCCCATCCCCTCCCATCCCATCCCATCCATCCCATCCCCTCCCATCCGCTCCCATCCCCTCCCCTCCCCTCCCCTCCCATCCCCTCCCATCCCATCCATCCCATCCCTGTTCCCTCATTTACTACTGCATAGCTCTCTGCACCTGATCCTTATCCTCACTAGTATGGCTCTCAGGGGAGTAAGGAAAGAGAGGAGAGGGGAGGAGAGGAGAGGAGAGGGGAAGGGAGGAGAGGGACTTAGGATGCAGAGGGTGGTGTTGGAAGATTTGGGGATGGAACCAGAAACCATAAAGATATAAACCAAGGCATTATTAGTAGAAACTAGGAAAAATCGCAAGAAAACATAGTGGCACCCAACTGACTTTTCCATTGGATATCTAAAACTAGTGGATAAAACACGCTCCTTTTGTGTCCACTACAACCCCAACTCCCCTTCTGGAAAATGTCCAGCAGCCCAACTTTCTGACACCGGAACCAGGCCGTCTCCCCGGAGAACAACCTAGAGTGGTAGCTACCAGATAGTTCATGAAAGCACAAACAGAAACTGGTTTAAGGCTGGAGCAGACTTGCTCTCTGGGCCTGAAAGGAGCAAAAAATAAATGACAGAGTGTGGTGGTTTGAAAGAAAATGGCCGAAAGGGCGTGACTTTATTAGGAGGTGTGGCCTTTTTGGAGTAGGCGTGGTCATGTTGGAGGAAGTGTGTCACCGTGAAGGCAGGCTTTGAAGTCTCATATATGCACAAGATATAACCCAGTCTCAGACCACTTCCTGTTGCCTGCAAGATGCGGCGCTCTCAGCTACTTCCCCAGCACCATGACTGCCTGCATGCCACCATGTCCCACCATGATGATAATGGATTGAGCCTCCGAACTGTAAGTGAGCCACCCCAGCTAAATGGTCTCCTTCTAAGAGTTTCCATGGCAATGGTGTCTCTTCACAGCAACAGAAACCCTAACTAAGATGTAGAGCTCATGAGGGAAAGGGGACCAAGGCAAGAGCCAACCAAAATAACAAGTAGGGGAGAAAGGCCCACAAATCCTCAGTTTGCAAATGATCAGACAATGTAAAATAAAATGTGATCAGCACGCTGAAAAAAGAGAAAGAGCTAAGACGTGACTGGAGCTATGCAACTGGAGCTCAGTGATCATGTAGTTAACTGCTTTATAAATGCTTATGTTTATACCCATGACTAGTGCAGCTCTCGACACTAGTCAGAGAAGCCTCTCCTAGCAGGGGTGACCATCAGAGCAGAGACCCAGATCTAATGAGGGTGCTGAGAAAGAGGCCTGCATCTACACTACCCGTTCCAACCTGGGAAAAGATTTAAGTGAAGTTTCTAGTGAGTGCACATTGCTTTTGCACCAACATAAAATTTTTTAAAATTCTAGTTTTTTTAAGTATATTTAAAAATCACATACCATTTAGGATCAATTTGCATATGGTAAAAGCAGCAAAACTCATAATGATAGATCAGAATAATATCTCTCAATGTATAGAATATTGAAAAGAAAAGATTTTTGAATGCTGGTGATGCTTCATGCCATGATCTGGTGGGGGTAACACAAATTTACGTATCACTGAAAATTCCACTGAACTCTACCCCTAAGATGGATATTGTTTTTAACTAAGTCTCTATCATTCTATTTTATCAATAAAGACTCAGGAACCGGATGCTAGGGTGAAAACCTGCTAGCTCAGAGAGGCAGAGAAGGTACCCAGTAGCTTCCTCCTCCACAGAAAGAGCTTTCTTCTACAGCTCCTCCAACTGGATGTCCCTGCCTTTGTCCATCCCTTCTATTTCCTGTGCATCTCCCTCCCTCCCTCCCTCCTCCCTCCCTCCTTCCTCCCCCCCTCCCTCCCTCTCTGTCTCTGTCCTCCTGACTCCCTCTTAGTCTCTATGGTTCTTTCCTACCAACTGGTTGCTTGGTCCACCTTTTGACCTATGGTTGACTATTTAATCCTGTTTACAATAATCAAGCAGAATGCTCTTGGATTAAAGGTATGTGTTGGGCTGAGCCACACCACAACTAGAAGCAGGGTTTTCCAGTAAATAATGCAATCTTGAGGTTCACAGTGTGATCAAATATCCTGCAACAGATGGACCCTCCTTATTGTGTATATATAGTATATGATCAAGAAGTTAAAAACAAAAAGTATTGGTGAAGCAAAGTGTCGGAAGGAAGTTGCATCCACCCTAACTGGAGAGGAAGAGTTTGAAAGGGTCACAGCTGTATTCTGCTACATAGAGATTCAGGATCTCCAAAGAGTCTTGGGACTCACCAGGTTTTTTTTTTGAATAGTCAGTCAGCCTTAGGATTTATCACCCATCACCAACAACCTTATGATGTGTATCATCATACAGACTACAGAAATTATGTCATTATGGAGAAGAAAGCTGTGGTCTGATGGCAGTGTATGTAGCTTTTTAGCAATGGCTTTATTTATTTATTTATTTATTTATTTATTTTTGGTTTTTCGAAACAGGGTTTCTCTGTGTAACAACTCTAGCTGGCCTGGAACTCACAGACATCTGCCTGCCTCTGACTCCTAGGTGCTGGGTTTAAAGGTGGGAGCTTCCACTGCCCAGCACAATGTTCCCTTTTTAAAAAATTAATTTTAATTATGTGTATATGTGTGCAGGGTGTATACTTGTGAGTGCAGATACATCATGGAGAGGCCAGAGGCATCATTTGGAGTCACAGATGGTGGTGAGTTGCCTGATATGGCTTCTGGGACCCCAACTCTGGTTCTTTGGAAGAGCAGTAAGTGTTTAACTGCTGACTCTAGCATTCATATCATTTAATATTTATCTGTATTGTTACCTGTTTAAATCAACTTTTACTAAAAGTGAAATCCATTAAAATTGAAGATATGTTTCTGTGACTTTCTCACCGAGCAAAGATCTTTGCATAAGTGTGTGATCTCTATTACTTTTTCCCCCACATTAATTAGGGGGTCGTCTAAGATCTCACTTTGCTTATCCAAGTTCATGAGACTCTGCCCCTGGGACTTAAAGACTGTTCATCTTTTGAATGTTAATAGCTCCTCTGAGCTGCTTGCATTTTTAATTTTTTCCTAGACACTTCCGCCTCACCTTCAGGAACTGTATTTGACTCTTTCAGAAACACTGACAGAAGAAGGTGTTTTCCTCCCAACTTCGGAACTATCTTAACTTTCCCATTTCCTCTCATGGCAAGGGAAGCTCTTTAAGAAACCCTCTCCACTCGAGGGAGTGCTCATGAGCTGACCAGCGAGCCTCTCATAATATAACAGCATTACTTTTCTATTATCCTTATTATTGTTCTACTCTGTATTCTTTTCCTTCAGAGTGTTTGCTGCATTGTTAAGTTAATAAGGGTTTTTTCCCCCATTATTTCCTCTACTTGTCTTGATGCACATATTTTCTCTCTTAGTGTCAAAATAAGGTGATGGTGAATTAGGAGTCCTTCCTGAGCTGAGAATACTTTTGTAATCTGGTAACCTTTGGCATGAAGCACATATCCTAGTGAATGATGGAGCACTTAAGAGTGATTCACCACTGAACATTACAGAAAATAGGCTGAGGGGCTCAGAAATTCAAGGCAAGTTCCTTCTACTCAGCGTGGCGTATATACTGTACTCTCACTCTCCTATCCCCTATTATGTGGTTAAGAGAGAGGAGATAATGATGGCTTCCTAAAGTTACCTATAATGCACTCAAAACTCTGTTAGGTGTAATGGTTTTAAAAGGCAGAATGAAAACACAGCTAGGAGATCAACACAAAAGGAATCATTTGCTGATAGCGACTGTGAGCCTGCGTTCCTACACACACACACACACACACACACACACACACACACACACACACACTCCCATTAACTGTAATGGGAATTATGAGTGCCCCATGAAAGGAGCTTATACCCTCCCTGGGTTTCTTGTGTTAATTTAGTTTCTCATGGTAGAAAAAAACCATGAAGTATTTGTTGTTGTTGTTGAAGAACTACTACTGCATGCTTAGTATGTTGTCTTTGGAACATGAGGCATGTAGAATAACAATTACTAATCGGTAGTCAAAATGCAGTTAACCCAAGCCAGACCCAGACTGATTAATTTTCAGGTTAGAAGCATTGACCTATCATGTTCCTTTTTGAATAAATATTTATTCAACATTTGACCTTTCTGGGTCTAAGCAAATTTCAGGGTGGACTAAATTTTCTACATTAACATGGAAATGATCTTTTAATTATTCCGAATGTTGATTAACAACATTCCCAGATTTGCATAGAAGGAAAGAAATGTAGTTTTACTCAGTAATGTTTCCAACCAATATTTCTTTATATATGAATATAGAAACCTTGATCATCGGCAGATACTCAGCTCCAAGAATGTTGTGTTGGCCTGTGTCTGAACATATGTATGTGGTGTATAGGTACACACACTTACACACCGAGAAATATTTACACAAATGTAACATGGTCTCCTGAGTTTTCAGGTAGTATATCCTGATCCCCGCTGGGTATCTCCTGCAGATTCCATAGGCACCTCACACTCACCATGGGCAAGGCTTCCCAGTCTCACTAAAGGAAGTTTCTGTTCCTCAGTTACTCAAGCCACAGGGCACTAAAGCACCATCTTTCAGATTCCACATCCACACATTGACCACTGTGTGTTTCATCTTTGATACCTCACTTACCATGGTACCTCATTTCCAGAAGTTCCAGCAGGACCACTGTGATGCTGTAGCAAGTATGAATCTAGCATCAGATCATCCTGGGGACATCTCGAGGACACACAGACACAGTGTGCTGAGACCCAGGACAGCTCCAGAGTCAAAAACACAACAGACTAGGAGAAAGTGAGGCAGTGGGGGGGGGGTTGGGGATGGAGACATAAGATGGGGCATATGTTCTTAGAATTAGGAATGCAGACAAGGACCTGGTCACACCTGGCATAAAAAGGTAAACAAGGAAAATTAGAAGTGATGCCCAATATATTGTTTTCAAGCCATAGTAGAATAAAAAAGTAGGCTAAAATGAAGGCATGTACTACTTAAATTATTCCTGAGCCAGGCAAGGTGGCACACTATAGGAGTCAGACGATTCTGGGAGGGAATGTTTTCATCCAACGGGTAGACAGCCCCCACCCCAAGAAACCAACACTAGTGGCATCACCTCCAAGACAGACATAATGATTGTGGCATCAAGACAGACATAGGATTGTGGCCTCAGGGATTTCTAGTCTTCGGACACTGAGGGCTGAGAATGTGTCTGTCAGATTTCCACAGAACGCCAGAATGTGGAAGAAATTAGAAACTCGCAAAGCAAACTGTTTGACTTTTTTTTTTTTTTTTGGTTTTTACAAGACAGGGTTTCTCTGTTTTGGAGGCTGTCGGTCCAGCCTGGCCTCGAACTCACAGAGATCCGCCTGCCTCTGCCTCCCAAGTGCTGGGATTAAAGGCGTGCGCCACCACCGCCCGGCCTGTTTGACTTTTATCAATGCTTAAAGTGCTATTAAGACTGAAGTGGTTAGGTTAAGAAGAAGGGGATCGGCAGGGGTGGGAGGGCACGAGAGGGGATGGGTATGATCAAAATACACCATACACATATATAAACTATAATGAAACCCATTATCATATGTAATATATATGATATATATAATATATAATTAATGTGTAATAACATAAAACTTAAAAAAAGGGCTGCAGTCAGTGAGCTGGGATATAACTGTTTGACAAAGCATTTCGCAAGTGTGTACAGGCCCTGGATTCAACTCATAGCATCACAAAAAAAACTAAAGAAAATAACAAAAAAAAAAGACTATAGTCACGCCTATTAACCCATTCAAATGTTTGTGTTTATCAAGTGTGCTGTTCAACCAATTGTATAAGTAAAGGTTTGCTGCGAAATACTCTTTTGTATACTGTGAATATGTATTATTCTCATTGGTTAACAAAGAGCTGGCTGGCCAATAGCTAGGCAGGAAAAGCTTAGGTGGGACTTGCAGACAAAAAGAGGTTGAGGGGTAGAAGGGGGCAGAGTTGCCAAGAGACATGGAGAGAAGCAAGATGAACATGCCATGCTGAAAAAAAGGTACTGCCACACGGTAGAGAGGAGATAAAACATACTGGTTAATTTAAGTTGAAAGAGCTAGTGAGTAACGAGCCTAAGCTATCAGCTGAGCATTTATAATTAATAAGTGGCTCTTAGGGAGGAGGCTGGCAGGACAGAACTGGCCAGCAGTCCTGATGAAAAACTCCACCTACAAATGTTAAATGTGAAATTGAGTGCCCAAGTAAAGTCAAACTGGTAAAATCATGGCCTCATCTACTTCCGTGGGTTTTTTTTTGTTTGTCTGTCTGTCTGTCTGTTTATTTGTTTGTCTTTTGTCTTTTGGTCTTTCAAGACAGAGTTTCTCTGTGTAACGCTTCTGGCTGTTCTGGAACTCGTTTTGTAATCAGACTGGCTTCGAACACCCCTGTAATCCCAGCACTGGGGAGGCTGAGCAAGGAGGATCACAAGTTCAAGGCCTGCCTGGGCTGCTCAATGAGACCTTGTCTCAAACAAACAAAAATATTTACCAAGTGTGTATTAATAACTCATGCTGTGTTTAGAGTCATGGGAGTATGATACAAGGTGCCTTGAACAGTTAGAGTGGTTAGTGTTCGAAAAACGAAGGAGCCAAGGCTGCTTTGCAAGAGCAGCTAGCACAGGCTAGTGCCCACAGGGTGCGTAGATGTTAGCGAACTTTCGAGATGAGAGTGTTAGGTAAAGGGCAGAGCTGATTATAATATGGGCAAAGATGGTAGAGTGGAGCCAGGGCCCACACAGCAAATGCCGGGAAGTTTTACACTGGTGCATTTTACAGTGCTCTAATTCATAGTTTTAAAATATTTTGGTAGTTGAATGAAAGATGAATCGGTGGGGACTTAGAGTAAGGGTAGGGAAACCACTTAGCATCTTAAGTGAGAAATGATTAGATGGAGGAAGACAAGGAGAGAGTTGAGGATAGATTTGAGGAATATTTTCAAAGACAAAGTAAGATGGATGACTAATTTAGGGCATGGGACACACCTGAGAGTTCTAAGGGGTATGATAATTTGATTCAACATTTCCTTAATGGGTTTAGGAGCCAAAGATTTTCCTGTGAATGCAATTTGAATATAGAAACAACTGAATGTAGGAACCCTCATACTGACTCACTCTCCCCCACTAAAAAGTCAGTAGACTTAAAAGAGATGGCAGAGTCAAATTAGGTGCAACAGGATGGGAAGCTAGAGGGCACGAGGGCAGAAAGATGGGTGGGAAAAGGCGGACGTGCTTGTGGATAGACAAAGGGAAGATGCCGGGTAACTCAGGAGGCTTGGTTTTGATAATAACGTACAGCACTTGTTTCTGCTGGAAGCAAGGCAAGCTGCTTACTTTTGTGTGAACTTGACACAAGCTGGGGGTATCTGGGAAGAGGGAACCTCAGCTGAGAAAAATGCCTCCCTCGGATTGGTGTGTAGGCAAGTCTACGGGGCATTTTCTTGAATAATGACTGATGTGGGAGGGCCCACACCGTTATGGGTTGGACTGTCCCCAGGTAGGTCCTCGGCTACTTTAAGAAAGCAGGTTGAGCAGGTTGTCAGTGCAAGCCAGTAAGCAGTGTTCCTCTGTGATCTCTGCTGTAGTTCCTGCCTCCAGGTTCCTGTCCTGGCTCCCCTCCATGGTGGACTGTGTTTAGGATATGTAAACCAAATAAGCCCTTTCCAAGTTGCTCTTCACAGGCATTGCGTTTGGTGTTGTAGATACAGCAGTGCTTTCTTCCCTTGACCCAAATGTAAACTGCGCCTGCACACCCACCGCCCTCTCTCTTTCTCTCACTCTGTGTGTGTGTGAGGGTGGGGAGGGAGAGAGGGAGGGGCCAGTAGAGTTCCTCAAAGGGCGGCCTACCATGCAACTCAGGGCAGAGGAGAACAGAGGAGGTGAATTATTTACATACACACAGATGTCAGAGAAAAGAATTTAAAAGATGGGTGAGGGTCTGGAGGGATGCTTCAGTGGTTAAAAACACTTGCCACTCTCCCAGAGAACCCACATGCTGGCTCACAACTGTCCATATAACCCCACTTCCAGGGGATCGGGCATCCTCTCTTACCTCCTCAGGCACCAGGCATGCACTTGGTATATGTACATACATCCAGGTAAACACTCCCTACACATAAAATGCAAAATGACAAGTCCTTATTTGTTTGGGTTTTTTGTTTTATTTTGGGGAGGGCAGGGCAGTGGACCTGGTTTGGAGAGTTATGCTTTCCAATAAGGATGAGACAATATACAATCCTGCTCTTTGCTGTGAGTCTTGGGTCAATTAATTATTGATTTCCTAATGTTTGAGACGGCACTTTAGTTGACAAGAGATAGAACTGTTAGCAAACAGATGAAGTCCAGAGGAGTGAACAATTAGTCTGTGCTTGTTTAACTGTAGGCTTCAGTTGAAATGTACCATTGGCTAAGCCAAGACATTGGCAGCAAGACGGTGTTCACACAGAGAAAACTCAACCAAATTGAAGCACCCTGAAGGTTATCGTGCATTGATTACACCAGGTTCCCCAAACAAGCTTCTAGCACTTCACTGAGTTGACTGTTTTAGCTCTGTGTGTGTGCGTGGGGGTGTGGTATTTGGTTTTCTCCGTTGCTTTATTTATTTACTTATTGAGACAGGGTCTTGTCTCTCTTTGCTTCCCCTCTGCCACGAAGTGTGCTGTTCCCACCTCACCACACCCTTCTGTGATGACATTGTGTCCCTGGAGCCCAGGGGCAGTCTATGAAATCTTGGACCCAAATAA